AGAGTGGGGCAGGAGAGATAAGCACATACAGATTGTTGGAAAAGCCAAATAAGAGAAAACCATAATTATGTAGATACTGCAGATGTCTAATATATTTTGGAAAAAAAAATGAGAAGTTATTTTATGGGAGCTTCTTTGAGAGGAACACAATCCATCGTATTTGAATAGCAGGCTTAAGTCCCTGGAATGATTGGAGATATGACCTTCCTTAAATCAATCCAACTGTAAGCACTTTTTTAGTTCCTGCTTCACCTGGCACAGGGCCTTGCACATAACTGCCCCTCAGTCTATACCGCTGAACCAGGGTACTTCTAGGTATTTGTTTCATTCCATGGCCCAAACTGATATTGTCATCATTCTCGCATGCACCCACCAGGGGCCCATCCTCTGTAAGTCACTGTTCAGACTTTGATAGGGAAGGCACTGCAAAGCTCAATCTGCCTTAAAATAGTTCCTCAACAGACCTGCCATGGTGGGTCTTTCCTTCCTAACAGAGTCTCATATACACCCATAATCTGAGTTCCATAATGAAGGTAGGGGCATTGTCTTCATACATTTATCCTTAAAATGTGTGCAACCGGTATGGCCAGGCTTTTCACTAAGTGTAAAATGAAGTCATAATAAGTTTTTAATGCCCAGATGATCACTTGAGTCCCCATTGACTTGATGGCTAGTTGCATATTTCCAAATATTTCTTGTTGTTTCCCAAAGGATGGCTTATATCTGCTTATGGTCTGTTCTGTGTACAATAATCATCCTATCCACCATATCCCTTTTCTCTTGCCCTGGCAACACTGTGTCCACCCATGCACCCTTCCTGGCCTCCAAATAGCTTAGAGGAACCTTACTGTTGTCTCGCTAATGGTGCTGTCTCCTCCTAATATTGGTGGTGGCCTTGCCAAGGTGCCATCTTCTGACTCTCCCTAAGCCTCCACCATCTGGGTGCCTGCCAGAGCAGTGCCAAGTTGACTGGGAAGGAGAGAGGATCAGCCCTCTTTCCAGCTCTGAGCCATACGTTTCACCTGGAACCTAGAGTACTACCGCTCTGCCCAGAGTCATAAAGTTTCCCCTTCAAACTTTCCCTTCAATTTCAGAAGAGTATGTGATCATCTGGCATCTGTGGTCAAGTTAACCTACTAACAAGGTTAAGCACCTTAATAGATTTTCCCAAGAACAATTACTAGTCTCTTCCAAAGTTGAAGAAAGAAGTCTCCACTTCTGGGTGCAAATGAACCTGCAACTCTTAAATGACAACTTCTTCACTTCTACCCACCCAGGTTGCAAAAATCTTAAGGCTTGGGTCCAGCGAGGGCACCCTGAGCACAAAGGAAGTTCTGCCACACAGAAGGAAAAAGACAGCTTTTTTTTTTTTTTTAATTAACCCAATAATTCTCAATAGTTTATCAGATTGGTAAAGGCACAAGGGGTCAGAACTCTTAAGACCGGTCAATGTCAATGTATGAAATATCTGGAACCAGAAAACTCTGAGTAGTTCTATATGAATCTAGTAGAAAACAGGAAGGGCAGAGGGTGGGAAGGAAAGTATCCAGAAAGAAATTCTAGACATGAATTGCCTGGAAAACAAACTCTGGCCCTACCAGTTAAGCTATAAGTGTTTTGACTTTCTAAATTTACCCATAAGTCAATATCATCAACAACTCTGAAAAAGATGTCATAAAACATTCCTGATATAAGATTACAAACCTTAATTGGTAGAGAGTTCCTAGTTATGTATTGGAAAAACTAATATACCTCCATCAAAAGTTATAAATAGAAAATTGCCAAATGAGGAAATGAAAATTTAAAAAATAGCTAGCCCAGCAGATGATGCCAGAAGTACGGGGAGCCTTATTTGGTGCAAATGCCAATAGGAAGTTTTTGGACTAAACCTTTGGGTGAGGTGGAGTTCATCCATTGCTCTCCTGCTGTCAGGCGGAAGTTTCTGATATTTGAAGAAACAAGATATCTGTGTGGCTTCCTCTTCGCTCTTCTAATATTCTGTATTTATCAGTGGATCCTCTCTGTAGCTAATGCCCTGGCCTAATTGTTAACATGAGAGAAAGTTTCACTTACTATGATCAGGAAACCTTCTTAGCTTATCTGAAAATAGCACAACTTTCATTTGCTTCTGTAGCATGAAGGTGAGGGTATCAGATGGTGGTTACTGGAGCTTCCCCGAGTCTCTGCTCTTCCTCTCGTCTTCTGCTGTCAGTTCTCGAGTCTAGAGGGTGATGTGTACGGTGTTCTCTGACATTCAGTCTCTGCTCTTTAGGCTTCAGATGCATGGGGGGCATGCATTCCTGCCAGCACTGGTAGCTTCACTGTTCACCTGTTTGGGCCTAGAAGCGTTTCTCATCTGTAAATGTGATTTTGAATCTAAGCCATGAATCGGTCTTATTTATTAAAACAAAAGGTTTACATGGAAAAAAAATAGCTGAAAGAATAGGATTAAAGGTCCATCTGGCATGTTAACAACAACAACAAAAATAGAAAGTAAAGCTATAATTGCATGCCACTTTGTGCCAAGCAAAATTTGTGCCAGATCACAGAGGACCCTGAATGCCATGTTCACAAGGCTAGAATTTATTCTGTACATGATAGGAAGACATGGATAGATTTCTAGTAAGAGAATAACATCCTCTCAGCCCCCTCTCTTTTTTAAAAGGGAAGATTAATTAGTCAATTGGGTATAGGATGGATTAAAGAAGATCATGGTGCCTTACCATTATTGGAAAGATGAGGGAACCGTTCCAGAAATGGTCTATACAGGCATGTCGTTAGATATCTAGCTTTGGAAAAACCCACTAGAAAGGACTGAATAATGTACTGACTTCCTCCATTCATTATACTGTCTCTCGGTAGACCTAGCTGCCTGATAAGTGATGCTAATGTACCATGAGACTCTGTATAAATTGATAACACATAAGAACAGCCCAGAACTCATTTTTCAAATTGAACAGAAATGTCCTTTTAAAGAAATTTTGTCTTTCCACAAAAATTAGGAAGCATCAGCATCAAGAATTGGGGGATTTCCATTTTCAGAAAGTGCTGTTGTTGTTTTTTTTTCTTCTCAATGTCCATGACACATGAACAATTTCTCAGCCTCCTTAAAATGACTATGCCATTCATTTTTAATGGTCCTCCTTAATTACAAAGATATCCTGTGGTAAGGAGGCTTCCTTAAGTTTGGCTTTACTCCAAGGACAAAGAGTTTTCTGATACATATTGAAAAAAAATATTGCAACCTTCTTAGAAGATGGCCTACGTGAACATAAACACTGTTTCCTTCTTTCAAAGAAACAACAATTCTGTTTAATTGGCAATAACATTGAGCAAAAACCCATTTTTCCTGCCCAGATTTCTTACTTCCTGTGTGTTAAGCCTGTCCCTTATTGCTCACCAAAGACGTGGTGATGCAATGATGGTTTACCCTTTCCCCAAATGAGGTCTGCTATCATCAAAACATCAGCTGACTATAGTCTAATATAGTGACTATAGAGCCAATGAATTGTTTTTTTTTAATTATTATTTATTACTATTACAAGCATTTTCCAGAACTTTCCCAGGTAGAGCTCTAGGGATGGAAAAATAGAGTCTCTGGGCTATCATAACTTTCTCTCTCTCTCTCTCTTTAAAGATTTATTTATTTATTTGAGACAGAGAGATAGAGAGCATGAGTGGGAGAGACAGAGGGAGAGGGAGAGAGAGAATCCTAAGCAGACACCCTGCTGAGTGCAAGCCCGATGTGGGGCTTGATCCCACAACCCTGAGATTGTGACCTGAGCTGAAATCAAGAGTCAGACATTTAACCAACTGAGCCACCAGGCACCCCCCTTTCTTTCTGTAGGTGGATGCAGTAGGTCTTGTTGGTCTCAGCCGTCCTTAACTGCATCCTTCATAGAAATGGAAGGAAAAAAAAGTTGGTGCTATTGACAGAAATCAGGGACAGCAAATGTGTTTCAAGATGTGTCGTGAACAGCAGCATGTGGGGATGAAGGAGCAGAGTAAGTATGGCACAGGAAATTAGGACACCTGGATTCTAGGCTCAGGCCTGTCACCAACTAGACATTTGACCTCTGGCAACAATTTATCTGTAAAGGGTCTGACTTTTTTTCATTTGTCATATGAGGAAATTGAGCTGAAGTCATTTCTAGTTATGACCTCTTATTATTTTTCCTACTCCTAAATTCAGCATTGGGGACTACATAAGACTTTTGGCCTTTTTGCCAAATGCAGGCATCTGGCATGCCATTATTATCACAACAAAGATGTGAGCAATGGAATTGATATGTCATGTGAACCTAGAGCAAAGTAAAGCTATTGAGCTAGTGGGGGTGTCCTGGGAGTGGGGTTAATATTGGATGTGGCTTAGAGACTGCTTACATGATCTTATGCATTATCTCTCTATACTTCTCTCATTTTTTCATTCCTGTCCTCACTTATTTTTGTGTTTTATCTTATTTTATTTTGTTCTCCCAATCCTCACCCTTTCCTTTCCTTTACAGTGTTCAGGCTTCAGTGTTCTTCTTGGAAAGGAATTTTCAGAATTCTGGGTCTGAAAGAAATGTCCTAGTGTAACTCTCGCTAACTGAAATGTAACCCTAACCAGCTTCATGTGTGAGTTCCCACTATGAGAAGCCTCTGGAGCACGAGTGTGGGTGGCGCTCCCCTTGCAAGAGTTCCTGGCACTGGATTTCCAGGGAGAGGATCCTTACGCATGTCATTCAAGTTCAAATACCATGTGACTCACATGCTTTGAGGCAGAGGCTCTCCATTTGCTTCTGTCCATGTCCAACTTGTGCCCTATCTTCCTGTTTCTTTAAAAATGTTTTTCTCTCAGTACACTGATCATGATGAGCACTGAGCAACGTATGGAATTGTTGAATCACTATATTGTACACCTGAAACTTACACCACACCATATGTTAACTATACTGGAATTAAAAGTAAAAATTAAAAAAAAAATGTTTTTCTCTCTATTTGGTTAAATTGCAACTTGTTTTATTAACTGATGCGGAGGGTACACATTCCAGGCTACACAGGCAGTTAGGTAAGAAATGTGCTCTCTTTTTCTCTATTCTGTCGGGTGGTCGAAAATTAATCTCAGGGTCTGAGTTCTGGGGTGCTCACCTGTGCCAATGAGTCAGACTGGAGGTGGGAGTCAGGAGCATCTCTTTTATGTTGTCATCATTTATCCATCCTGGCACCTGTTTGATCTTTGATGATTGATCAGTGGGTCACTGTTGTGTCTTTCTGGTCGCAACCTCAAGTAGTCTTCAGGCTTGCCAGCCCTCTCTCAGCTGTATGTTGACCATTGTTCAGATGGAGCATCACAGTGGCCTATGGAAACCTCCCTGAAGCCGTCTCAGGCATTCTGGGCAAGAAGAGACACTGTGAAGCTGTCTCTATTCTATCACACTAGGCTGAGTGGGCAGAGATCTAGGGCTTAGTAGGCTCCGGAGGCTCTAGGCTGAGACAATGAATAAAGAAGGTCCTAGCTGCAGGGGGCCCAGGAAAGGCCTAAGAGTACTGGGTGGGGGTAGGGAGGACAGGGTAGGGAGGTGGGTATCAGGGGGAAAACTCTAGGTTAGTATCTCAAAATATTATCCCACTACATAAATATTAATGAGTCTATTTAATCCTTGATTTTTGGCACAAGGCAGCAATAATAAACCTGTTAACTACCATTCTGAAGATGTAGCTCAGGTAGGATATTGTTTTCAAAAGTCCAATGCTGCCCATATTAATGATGAAATTGAAAAGGGCTGGTGTTGCCCGGGGCTTCTAACTTCCCTTTCTTCTCTCTTTTTCTGCATTTCAGTGCTTTCTCTGCTGTGAGTTGTTTCTGTTATCTTGGTTTCCTCTGTCCTGGGGGAGAAAATGAGATAAATTAATTCATGCTAAAAGTCTCTGGCTTCTGGAAGTATTTACATTTTACAAGAGGGTCGTAGGGATAGATCAGTGTTTAACACAAAAGAATGGATCACTGTAGGTGGAACTTAAGATAATCGTAGGGGAGAGATTTTTACCTTTTTCTCCCTATAACGATTCCATAGTGCAAGGTAAAGGAATGGCGCTCTCTCCCCCTTCCCGGAAAGGCTGGAACAGATCAGGTAAGTGAGGAATGACTCAGACAAAGGAGAGGATCCCTGAGGCCTCCGAGGGAAGGACAGAATTACAGAGCTGCTGCCAGAGGAGCCAGTCAGAGACAGGCCTGGAACCTGGCTGTTACACTGGAACATTAGGACAGGTTGATAAGTATGGAAGAGGCTGAGGGCTTCCCAGGTGAGGTCCACAACAGGGAACGGGAAAGGAGATTTGCTTTATGTGGTGCTTGGTGTGTGCTGTGAGCTTAAAGATACTGAACCAGACTGGTTAAAGGTCATGATGATTTGATGAGGAAAGTAGACTCTCTACAAAGTCCCTGCCGTGCAAGTATGCTGTTTCTCGCTTTTCAAAATATGGTCAGAATTTATTTTCAAGAGTTGATATTTAGCATATTCCTTAAGTACCAAACTAAGTTCATTTTAATATATGGCTTTTAGAAATATATTATTAGTGTAAAAGTTGTAAAAATTCTGTCTTAGTCCATTTGGGCTGCTATCACAAAAGTACCATAGACTGTGTGGTTTATAAATGACAAATTTATTTCTTATAGTTCTGGAATCTGGGAAGTCCAAGATCAAAGTGTTGGCAGATTCAAGGTCTGGTGAGATCCACTTCCTGGTTCATAGACAGCTATCTTCTTGCTGTGTCCTCCCACGGTGGAGGGGGTGAGAGAGCTCTCTGGGGTTCCTTTTATAAGGCACTAGTCCTAGAGGGCTCTGCCTTCATGACCTAATCACCTATCAAAGGTCCCACCTCCTAATACTATCATGTTGGCAGTTAGGATCTCAACATATTAATTTTAGGGGGATACAAACATTTAGTCCATTAACACAGTGTTACTTCTAACATCTTCCAACATAGTTTCATTCCACTTTTGGCCCAGCAAAGTGGACCAAGGTCGGTATAAAAGGAATCACCTAGAATGGTCTCATGCCCCACTATCCAGCCTGACCTGCCCACACCTGGTTCAATGTCTCCTTACTAGACTTAGCTTGTCTCATTCCATCTGTAGCTTCTTGGTCAACCCTTCAGCTGATTGGCTGGTTGTGATTCTGGATTTTGGTACCATTCTCCTGCCTTCCTGATCACAGGTCTTTGCTTTTGGCCAGGTTCTGGATGAATGTGCCAGGCCCTAAGTCCTCCCTTTGGCACATTATTGCCCAGACATGAGGACATTGTTTAGGGTTATTAGGGTGGGGAGGGTCAGGATCGGGAGCAGAACCCAAATAAAGACATATAAGCTATACTCTAATTTCTTCTACTTGTCTTCACTTATTAAAAAAGATACTATGTGTGTATATATATATATATATATATATATATTATTTTAAGATTTTATTTATTTATTTGACAGAAAGAGACACAGCGAGAGAGGGAACACAAGCAGGGGGAGTGGGAGAGGGAGAAGCAGGCTTCCTGCTGAGCAGGGAGCCTGACGCAGGGCTCGATCCCAGGACCCTGGGATCATGACATGAACCAAAGGCAGACACCTAATCACTGAGCCACCCAGGCGCCCCATACATATTTTTTTATTATGTTATATTAGTCACCACACAGTACATCATTAGTTTGTTTTTGTTTTTTTTTTAAAGATTTTATTTATTTGACAGAGAGAGACATAGCGAGAGAGGGAACACAAGCAGGGGGGTGGGAGAGGGAGAAGCAGGCTTCCCTGCAGAGCAGGGAGCCCGATGCAGGGCTCGATCCCAGGACCCTGGGATCATGACCTGAGCCGAAGGCAGACGCTTAACAACTGAGCCACCCAGGCGCCCCAGTACATCATTAGTTTTTGATATAGTGTTCCATGATTCATTGTTTTCTTCTAACAACCAGTGCTCCATGCAACTCTAGGTTAGTATCTCAAAGTATTATCCCACTACATAATACTCATCACGGGGCTAACCCATCCCCCCACTGCCCCTCCCCTCTAAAACCCCCAGTTTGTTTCTCGCAGTCCGTAGTCTCTCATGGTTCGTCTCCCCCTCCAATTTCCCCCCCTTCATTCTTCCCTTCTTTCTCCTAATGTCCTCCATGCTATTCCTTATGTTCCACAAATAACTGAAACCATATGATAATTGACTTTCTCTGCTTGACTTATTTCACTTAGCATAATCTCCTCTAGTCCCATCCATGTTGATGCAAAAGTTGGGTATTCATCCTTTCTGATGTAATATTCCGTTGTATATATGGACCACATCTTCTTTATCCATTCGTCTGTTGAAGGTCATCTCAGCTCCTTCCAGTTTGGCTATTGTGGACATTGCTGCTATGAACATTGGGGTGCATATGACCCTTCTTTTCACTACATCTATGTCTTCTCTGTATCATTCCAATTTTAGTATATATGCTGCTGAAGCAAATACAAGATACTGTATTTTGGATACTAAATGTAACTGTATGAAAACGTCTCTACAATAGCTTGGTTGTAGATTTATTGTCACAGATGGCTAGTTAATTAAAATAAAACAAACAATTTTTTATGCTTCCATCTTTCTAGGTGACAAGCCAGCAGAACATACCTTTAGAGTCAGATACTTCTTGAGAATTATTAGCAAAAGGGATTATTGGTTGAAGGTTCACAAAGCTTGCTTGGGAGATTCTCCTGAGGTAAAGTGACAGTTAAGACCAAGGAGGAAATGGATGCACTGAAACAAATATATACAGTATTCCTAGCTTTGGATTTTAAAATGACAAGAACAAGCAAGCCAGTCAAACCCTGAAGAATCTCTGATGGAGGGGGGTTCTTTCTGAGAAACCTTCAGGAGAGGTTAATTAGAAAGATTGTTTCACAAACATGGTACAGTCTTGCAGACAGCAGGCTTACCTCCCCCAGCCTTCCTGAGAGAGCAAGAGGTCCATTAGCACAGTGGCCAGAGCCTGAACTATGGAGCCAGGTAGGCAAGTTGGAATCCTGGCCCCCCCATAAATCTACAACCAAGCTATTGTAGAGACGTTTTCATACAGTGTGAGATGACCAAATCTTTCTCAGCTTTGGTTCCCCCCCCAACCATTAAACAGGGATAGTAATACACACCTGAGAGTTCATATAAATCTCTTGGTCATCAAATGATTGCCCTCATTTCAGTGAAGGAAGGTCAAATTCTAGTCACTCTCATAGTTGGCAGCCCCTTTATCTGGTTATGATGGTTAATATGTATGTATTCCTGGACTTGAAGGCCCAGCTCAGGATGGTCCCGTGACTGCCAACAAGTTCCACAGGGGCCTGTTTCCAGACTTGCCTTATTTTTGCCAAGTAGAGATAAACACTGATGGAAACTGTCACTTGTCACATTCCCAGGAGCCAGGCATCTCTCTAATCTTGGTTTCTCTACAAGCAGGGCTGTCAGGGAAGGCAAATCAAGAGGTCAGACAAGGGACTGCTGCTTTGGCATCACTCCTTTGCCCACTCACAGAGATGTGCCAGACTCCCAGAGCCAGCTTGGAGGAACAGATACATCTCCTTCAGAAATATCTGGAGGAGCCTGGATATTTTCATAGTAAAAGATACCTTCACACGTTAGTTTGAGGCAAAGACTTTTATGTTTTTATGACAAATATTACCACTTATGTGTGGTTACAGATGGAATTAACCACAGCTTTAATCCACAGTGCTGCAGTGTGACCAAGTAGGAGGTCCTGGGAAAATGTTTTGGACTTTTAAAGTTCGTCCCAATAAAATTTGTAGAACTTCGGGGTGCTGACATGGATTCTCACTTCCTTACTACGTGGGTTCTCATTTCCTTATTTCATTACCAACTTATTTCAAAATACGAATTTATGTCCCAGTAGTGATGGTCAGAGTGCCAGTGATTTCATAAGATCAGGCCTAGAGATGGAAATGAGGTTTGTTTAAAAAAAAAAAATGGGGGTGGGCAAGCAAAAATCCAGACTCTTAAATACAGAGAACAAACTGATGGTTCCCAGAGGGGAGGTGGGTGGGGGGATGGGTGCAATAGGTGATGGGGATTAAGGAGTGCATTTATTGTAATGAGCACTGAGTGATGTCTGGAATTGCTGAATTACTATATTGTACACCTGAAACTAATATAACACTGTATAAAAAAAGGTAAATTTTAGAAATACCACTGGAGAGTCATCAATAAAGTTTGGAAGTAGGGAAAAAAAAAGAAATGAGGTTTGATTTTAATTTGTGTCTTCTGCTGTCTTTAGGTCAGTCGTGTATGAATAGTTTGTTCATTCAGTGTCTCTACTGCCTCAAGTGACAAAGGATATCAGAGTCACTGTCACAGAGGACATTATCACCGAGCAGTATTTATCATAAACCCACTGCTGCACAATGCCAAAGCAAGGTAAATAGGCAGAATAATTGCCCATGAGTAAAGACTGTTTAACACACAGATCATTTCACAGAGCCCTTCAGACCCCTGTGCAAATATACTAACAGGACCTTGGATGTTAATTTGCAACAAAAATTGTATGGATAAAGGGGCAGGAGAGTTGGTAATATTCTAAAAGTTATTTGATTACAAAATGTATATCCTTATTTTCTTACCTACAAGGTCTTCAAAAAATGGAAGTGGGATGTAATGTCCTATAGTTTAGTGGTTTCCAGATAGTTGTTTTTAATAAATCAGTTAAATTTTAAAACAAAAAATGGGAGGGACTAATTAATACAAGATTGCCAACTCTTTTTTTGCAAATTTTGTGAAGGAAATTAAAAAACAGATTTCCTATAAAGTATTGCTATAATTTCATGAAGAAAGACTTTCAAATACCAAAATAAAAGGGAGGGTATAATT